TCCAGGGTAGGTAATGATAGAGGTCACATGTCCAGGGTAGGTAATTAATGCAGTCACATATCCAGAATTTGTAATGAAGTCACTTTCCAGGGTTAGTAATGATTGAAGTCACATGTCCAGGGTAAGTAATAAATAAATTAACTTTTGGATTCACTTTGTGAATGACCAAGCTGTTTTTGATACGGCCTTTATTAGATCTTAGTGTGATGTATGTGTATGCCAAGTGAATGCCTGGTATTAGGTCTTAATGTGTTTTCCAGGTGAACGGCCTGTCTTCCTGCAGTAGTTCCCATGTAGCATCATGTGCTAATGACGGAAGTCTGCGTGTCTGGTCAGTGGAGGACCGGGAACAGCTGCTACAGTTCCAGGTCAGAGATCAGGTAGGTTTTCCAGCCTTTCACACGGTTTCTGTGTTGTACAGCTATTGTGAACATTTTTATACCATTTACTTTAAAATTTAGTTATATTTTTTCTTCTCACCTGTCAGTCTGTCTGTGATTGATTATCATTCTTTAAAGGCTCATCTGATGGCAGCTTAACTTGCTGGGAATGTCAAGTATGGGGATATCTCTAACGAGGACATGATGCAGAATGGTTTTGATTTGAGATTTCTACATGAAACCATTCTTTTTAACCTAAATATACTCAATATATTTGTACAACAATAATGATTAAATTATGCAAAACTTGTATGCAGAGCTCACTATGAAAGTTGAAATTTCATTGCTTTTTGTTTTTCTGTTTCTCAGTCTTGCACCTGTGTTGCATTTGCCCCCTCTGGTCCGGACATTGTCACCATGACTACCGTGAGTAACCTGCAGGAGGCTCCTGTGTTGGCCCATCAACACCTAGAAAACCACCAGCTGCCTCCACTGGTGTCTGGATACAGCGACGGCACTGTGCGCCTTTTTGACCCCAACAAGGTGGAGATGGTCCTAAAGATGCACCCTCATGCTGTCGCTGTTACTGCTATTAGTTTCTCCTCTGATGGTAGGTGCCAGGCTAAGTGCCAGACAAAGTTGAGTTTCACTATCACTATTTCTTGGAAAGTACAGATGAAATCATATGATGGAACTTGTTATGCATGATCCCCTTTAAAGTTGTGCTTGATTCTATTTGAAAATTTCAAAAAATCTAGCATAGTAAAAGCCTCTGAAATATTATTTTGCAACTTAAATATCATAATATGCTTTGTACATCAGTACATGCGCTTGTGCAAGAAAAGAAAAAGAATCCGCCTAACAGCAACATTCTATGATCTTTCATTGGTGGGTGCCACATCCCTCTTTCGTTAGGGGAATTAGTCTTTACAAAACTGTGGTGTAACTAGAAGAAACAGGATTTTGGAGGGTATGATCTCATTTAATGAAATAATATTGATATTTATCCCTAAACATCACATGGTTTTGATTGGTTGTTCAGGGCGTATGATAATATCTGGAGGAAGTGATGGCCTGATCGCAGTCAGCAGTCCCACAACAGGAATGACTGTCCGAGTCATCAATGACCATAAGGGTGCCCCCATCACCAACATTGATGTCACAGACAAACAGGTACACAAGCCAAGTCATTTTGATACATTCAGGATATTTTTAATAGCAGTTTTCTTGTACTTGTTGTAAATCTCATATTTTACTGAATTCTTTATCTATTCTATTTTTTGTTTTTTTCATACTCATGAATATGTCAATCCTCTTTTGAAAGGATTTATTTTGATATATATTGTTATTTTATATAACAGAAAAAAAAGTGATTTACAACTATCATTAATATACTGCTCGTCTATAATAACTGCCTGCCTATAAAAACTGTCTGAAATAACTGACATCTTTGATAACTGCATTCCTGTAATTGTAATAAATTTCTGTAATACCTTACCATCTGTATTACCTTGCTATTTGTAATAAATGTCCATCTATAATAACTACCTCCTTTAACAACTGCCCTTCTGTTATGAATGCCAGCTGTAATAACAGTCTGCCTATAATAACTGCTCACCTGTTTACTTTTACCATGCTATTAAAATGTAATAACTGTACACCTGTAAATACCTGACCACTGTTTTGTGGGACTAATCTATTTAAGTGTGATGACTGACCAACTGTTTTGTATCACTAGGACCAGGATGTAGGTATCACTGCCCCGCTGTTGTGGCTGGCCACCAGTGCTGATCGCCGTGTAAGTGTCTGGTCAGCTGACTGGTCAAAGGACTTCTGTGAACTAGTAGATTGGCTGACTTTCCCAGCCCCAGCATTTACGCCAGATGGTGCTGTCATCTCCAAACAAGACCAGGTACGTAGAGAGCAAT